ATACTATTCTACTAAAACACAGCCAAGACAAGTTACTTTGTACAGACCAAAGGTCAGTTTTATGTTATTTGATACAGTAACATGAGAGCATGTGAGCCCCATCATTGTAACTTCTGTGTTGTTAGCTAGGCACGGCTGAAAGGTCAATATAATAAAAAAATTAAATATAAATGTATAATTTTATGAGATTTAAGCTATTTAGTCTAAACATTTATGTTTTCGTGTTATAATTTATGTTCATTCTAGAATTAAAGAGGCATAATTTATGTTTATTTCTTAATTTTTTATGGTGGTTGCAAGATTGGTGAAATCTACCAAACCTGTACAGAAATTAATTACTGAAAATAATAGATAAAAAGTACAGTTTTTTCTTAAGAAACTATCTGGACATTATAAAGATTTGGCATGTGAAATTTCAAAATTTTCTGATGCATAAAAGTATTTTTAATCTTAAAATAAATATTACTTTGCATGATAGATAGGCAACACGTGAAAAGAAAAAAAAAAAGACACGAGAAAAACATTGCTTTACAAATGTTAAGACTTAATAAAAAATATTTGATATTTTACATATGAAAGGATTGAAATGTTCACTGATAATCTGCCAAATTTCGTTACCATTCGCCTACTAATTTAAAAGTTATAGCATGAAAACTATAACAAGCACAAAATGGTTATGAGGGCAGTCCCAGGTACAATATTTCAGGATTTCCCCAACTTTTCCTTGTTACCACCCCTTTTTGCTTGTCTTCATACTTGTGACTCCTCCTCACCTATATTTAAAAGACTTATATTAAAATATAGAAGCTTACTATGACAATTTACAAGTATTAGTAGGATGTTGATAAGTTTTTATATTAAGATTATAAAACAAAAGGTGGCATTTTTTGGGCAAAATGAAAGATGAAATTTTTGCTATAGATAATTCAGCCAACTAGTTTCAGTAACACGGTTATCATCAGGGCTAGATACTACTAATGATAGTAACTATGGTATTAAAACTAGTTGGCTGAAATATTTAATAAGAATTTTATTTTTCATTGTGCTGAAAAATGGCATTTTTATTTTTTACTCTTAAAATAGTAGCACATTGTATTTATTAAAAAATTGAATGTTACTAAAGTTTTATATTTTTGCTGACTTCTCTCACTGTGGACACTTTTTGTGACTTCTTCAGGGGTTTGAGAAATGTGGCTTTATTTAATTTTAAAATAATAACTGTAATGATGAGTAAACTACTATATCAAATAAAAAAAAAGAATTTGTAAATGGCATATTGGCTCAATAACCATTGGCATCCTGTAGGCATTAAGCCTTGTGATCTAATAGCTTTTGAAGAAAAAAATCTGTAGGAACACAGTGATGAAGGAAACAATTGGTGTTAGTCAGGAGTATGATTCTTAAAGCATTACTTTCTATAGTTTAAATATATCTCCATATTACTTGTTTTGCCCCTCAATGGCACAGCGGTATGTCTGCTACAGATCGGGTTTCGATACCTGTGGTGGGCAGAGCACAGATAGCCTATTGTGTAGCTTTGTGCTTAACTTCAAACAAACAATTATTTGTCTTTAAACGTCAATTGTTGTAAAAATATGTGAAACAATCAAAAAGAATAGTTGTACATATTATTGACAAACAGTGGTGTAGCAATAGGGGGGTAAGGGGGGGGAAATCACCTTTGGGTGCAGGTGTGAAGGGGCACAAAATTTCCTCTTGCCTATAACGCCTATATATTAATGATTATGCCCTCCCCTAGGATATAGCGCAACTGCCCTACATTAAATTTGATGACGAGAACCCACTTTGAGACTAACA